CATCCGTGGTCTGGTGCGGCATTGTATTACCCTCATTCTCGCTTCTCGACCGGGTTATGACGGATAACCTGATCCTTCTCGGTAATTCGTATTCTGCACTAACCCATTCCACGGCACTACACGGCACAGACCCGATCCGTACCACAGAGGTGGGTACTCTACTTAGTAGGTCAGCAAGCGAATATATGGAACATTCGATAGTAACAGTGTTTTGTCAACACCGGCCCGAATTGACTCAGCACATATCTTCCATTGTCGACTCACTTGGCCCAAGCTTCAAACGGGAATTTACTGACCACTTCTTCCCATCAATCTTTCCTGAACCACTACAGCGACTATGAGAGCCTTACCATATGTTCATACATTGTATCATACATACTTGGCCATTTTTGAAATAAAAATATTATCCCTACGGCCCTAACCAAACCCTAAACCCTAAATCCTAAAATCCCATCTCTCCTCCATGCATCTAGCTTTCGGAGAAATAATATTTGACGGTATTTATCTGCTATTGGCCCTATTTTTTTAAACTTGAAAACACAAGCTCTATTTTGAAGAAGTAAATGTTCAAGGCACTTTATAATTTATATACCCCACATTTGGTGCCCATCCACAAGTTGAAAGGTCTGCACGGGGGTATTAAATTGGACTCTGATTTGTTTCACGCTTGCGATTCAGCGAGTTATTTCTTTCCGATGCATTTATTATACCAAGAAGGTTCAAGAGACCTAAAAGCAGTAAAAACTATGGAATTCGGTTCATTTTTAAATCTTTTGTAGAAAAAAACATAAAATATAAAATATACAAAACTGCTGGAAATCAAAATGTGATGATTTTTTTTTAGATGGGATGTCGATAACACGTCGGGATGCTGCAAGTTTGTTCATATTTAACCATATTATATCCAACACATACTTATCACAGCCGTTCTTATCACAGAGTCCTATACGTAGTTATTACAGTTTTGATATACGTGTATGAGTGCTTCGAATAATTCTGTTTAGATGTAAAGTACTTTTGACTTCTGTTTGGTACTGCCGAATTCGTAACTGTGGTTTTCACACAAGTATTCTCATTGTGTGATGCATAGGACACATTATCCTTAAATTCTGACAGCTCCTATGGCAGAACAACTAGACAATACAGACGGCTTTGGAGAGAAAACTTCATTCTCAGTGAGCAGGTTTGTTGAAGGGGGAACCCATAGTATTGCGTTGTGTGGAGGTGCGAGAAATAGCCTTCCTGTTGGTGTCAATGGTGTGCCGTTGAAGCCTTCTGATAGTAGTCGCATTGATTTACAACCGAACGTAGAGGTCGAGGAGGATAATATCACTCATAGTCAGGAACCTGATGTTGTCGGAGAATATCAGGATCGTGACACAGTCAAAGGTAACCAGTCGAAGATTAAGAAACGCCCACATGCATCGTCCGACGGGGTGTTAGACCGGCCTACTGGCAGCTGTTTAATAAATCAGAGCGAGGATGACTACACACAGATAAGAGCCACACCGGCCAGCAGATGGGGACTTGAGAAGCCATTAGAGGTCGACAGTGACGTTGACATTGGTAGTGTTGATTACTACATAACTCCGAATCTCAATTGCGGTACTTCCACAATGCACCACAGCACAGGCTCAGACTGTGGCACTGGCACACATCTATTAGGTGTTGAGCCCAAAGCGGAATATACCATCGCCAATATGAGTACAGACGCAGAATCAAGCACTGGACAGGATATGACCACTACTACCACAACAACGGACACACATAACAACAATACCAAACGCACAGCTGGCACAAACACAACCAAGGCCACTGTATCAGAACCCACCACTGCATCGAGATTGACAGTCAATACTGTGACGGGCCATCTTAACTCCACTCCGCCAAATACAGCCCCATTCGACGACGTGAGGAGGTCGCCTGCCAGCTCTGCAAAGGCAGCCGATGGTACGATACAGAATGGGAAGAGTCACGGAAGTAGTGTACCTTTGCAAGGTAGTGAGACAGAGTCAACGGAAACAAATATGACTACACAATCAGATCAAAGACAAACTGGTCTAAGATTAAGCCGTTGGTCGTCTGAAGGGCGGGCAATAGGTGCCGGAATGATAGTAGAGGAGGATGCGGAGGAAGAACTAAGTGCACTACGCAAGAAGGTCGCCAGTTTGACAGGTAGGCATAGCCCAATATTTCCCAAAGTTTGTTTATATATATATATATACACCCACCCACCCACCCACACACACAAACACACACACACACACACACACACACACACACACACACACACACACACACACACACACA